TACTAAGGACGCAGCCGTCTAACACCACAGTCAGCTTCATGGCTCTTGTGTTCGTCATGGTGCTGGTAGAAGCAGATTACTGCCCCGACAGTCATGGGAGAGCGAGATGTGAATGGCCATGAGCTCTGTGCTTGATAAAGATCGTGTGACTGCGCTACCAGCTTCCGTATTTGATACACATTCGTGGTGTGGAGACGGCACATGCGTAGAACACATCTCCCTCAATTTTTCACTGTTTCTCCCTCCCCTTTCCCCCATCTCTTGCTCCTCTTCCTATTTGAGAAAGATCTATCTGCCTACTTCCTTTTGTTATTTATTTGTTTATTTAGAGACAGGGTCTCACTATGTAGTTGAGACTGACCTGGAACTCACTATGTAGTCCAGGCTGGTCTCACACTCAGAGCAATCCTTCTGCCTCAGCCTCCTGAGTGCTGGGGTTACAGGCCTGCGCCACCATGCCCTGCTCTTACTTCTTTTTATCTATCTTTAATTCATGTTTTAATCATTGCTGTAGCATATACTGCTTCTACACACACACACACACACACACACACAAACACGGCCTCAGACAGGGATTCCAGAGAAAGGCACTGCTGGCTCAGGAGGTAGCTGGTTCTTATGTGTTACTTCCCCTGCAGACCTTCAGGGAGACAAGATATAAAGGAGGAAACCAGTGACACTGAAGGCCCTGATCAGGGTAGGCTTGGGATAACGTGTCTTACTAAAAAGTAAGAAAAAAAGTCAAAGAATGTAAAACATGAAAAGGCCTGTAGGATATAAAGAATGAAAATATTTGTTAAAATTTTAAGAAAGAATGACTATGACAACGCTTAGCTGAAAGCAACAACTCATTTCAACGCTTAGCTGAAAGCAGCCACACAAAAGCAATGGATCATGGAGACCGAGGAGGGAACAAGGAACAAGGAACAAGGACAGACTATGTGGGTAAATGGAGAGCAGTGGCTTCCAGCTTCGGTTAGATTAGAATCCCAGCAAGGCTGGCCAGGAAATTGCACATTGCTCTGCCTGACTAGGTTGGGTGTGGGGTTTGCATTTCTTGTACATCACCGGGGGATATTAGGGTTCACACTTTGCAGACCACTGAAGAACGGTGGGTGTATGAAACTATGTAGGGTTTAAAATTTATACTGAATTAAAATCCATGCAGATGTGAGTGGTTACGTTGTGGAGATGGTTGCCCCTCTGCCCAGTAGAACAAAACAAGGTAGCCTTAAATGGTACTGCATTATTCAGATATTCATAAAGAAAAAATAGTTGATGTTTTTCTTATATTGTGAACTAAAGGCAGCCCTGAGTGTACTGCATTCTACATGTGAAAAGGAAAAGCAATAACACTTCCAGAAGGCGTGTTAGAGAGTGTCAGAGTAATTGTGGAATACTTTTTAAACGGGGCCCCCAACACACTTCTCAGAGGTAAAATTTGAACTACATTAAAATTTACAGTTAAAGAAAAGACAGACCAAAGACTTGGGGATGCCATGCACAGCACATGCCCTGACGGAGGCTCCTGCTCATGAAAGCAATCTCCCGTGTGTCAGTCCTAAAACAGTCACCACGTTTCCTCTTCTTCCTACACCTGTAGGCACCAAGAGGTGATGTAGAAGAACATTCGCATGTCACAATTCACAGCAGCCTTGAACCGAAGAGGGCAGATTCCCCACCTGAAGCTCCGTGGGAAAGCACACGGCAGGCTGTGCATAAAACGCCCCTCTGCATCGTCACCAAATGGAATGAGTGGGTGACTCTCAGCACTAGTGCAGAAGGAAAGGCACTGATGATGACAGCATGTGTGACAATGGCACAGCACCCGTGGGAGTCAGAAACAGGTACCTGGGAGGATTACCTTGGAAACAAAGGTATGAAGCTTCACAGTGGGAAAGAAAGGGGCCGTAGCAGATGAGTAGCAATGGTCTTTCTGGTTACTGACAGGGTTGTGTTCCTTAACCTGCTGGGGTATTTAAACAGGAGTTTAGCTGTGATCTATAAAAGAGCTGTTTGTGCCCTTTCTGTATATGCATGTTTCATTCAACAGTAAGTGGGCTAAAATGTTTTTAAGCACAACTTCTTACTCTATCCATTTGAAATATAGTAGTAAGCTACATTTTCCTTTCCAAGTGCTTAAAAATACCTGACATCCTTGGTTGAATTATTTTCCCAGTAATACTTCAATTAATCCTTTAGTTGTATTAATTTATTCTCACATTCTGGTTCTTACATTACTCTGCATTCATTGAGCAAAGTGAATTAATATTTATTGGAAATCACATGTGCTGATCTCGTTGGGATAAACACCTTATGCTATTTATAGATGGCTCTGTATATTTATTTTGGTTTCAGCACTGATTTCACGTGTACAAGTAGAAAGGGACTAATTCTATAACCATCAAATAAAGCACCTAATAGTTTGTAAATATAACAAAACTATTCTTACATCTGCTTAACAGATCTACTCCCAAGATCCTACTATAAGAAACAGGCTACTTACAGAATACATTGGTATATCAAAGTAAGCCTATTAAACTAATTCTGTTACTGATAGTCAATATTGAAATTGTTACAACTAATACCAACACATTGATCTGTCAAATTACAGTCTAAGAGTTTGATCTCAGAGCAGGCAGGAGGAGCACCCTTGCACTGTAGGAAACGTATAGGTGGCTTGGATATTAAAGTTTTAGGGGGAGGACATGTGTGGAGTCGGTGCGACTGCGAGGCTCTCTACGGGGTCCCAGGGCCTCTCTCCCGCGGGCGAGGGATGGACACACACCTCGTCCGCACCTCTGTGGTTCTTCCACCTTCCCAGTTTACAGTGTGAATCCCTCAAGAGTAATGACTCTGTGGGGGTAACGTAGCCCCTTATTCTGAGCCCACATTACTTTTCCTTTTGTTGATAAAATGGTCTGGGCCGATACAACGGTGAATGCCTGTTAGGGTTTGTATCTGCTGCTCTCGAGGGCCCCTTGGGCTCTGGGTGTCAGGAGGAGCCTGGTCGGAGAGGCCTCGGCGGCTGCGGCCTCGGAGGTTCATCTGCTCCTGTCCTGTCCTCACTCTCTGGCTTCCGGGAACCACGATGGGGACAGCTTTCCCTCCCGTGCCCTCGGCCAGGCTGCTTTTTCTTGGGCTCAGAGACCGTGGCCTGAAATGGGAGCCAAAATAAACTTCTGTAAGTTCTGGGTGTCAAGTACTGCATCCAAGAGCGGAGGAGCCGAATACGACGTTCTCCTCTTCCGTCTTCTTCCTCTTTGTGGTCTTCTATCGCCTTCCCCCGTTCCCCTCTCGTCTCCCTCCTTCTTCCTCTTCTCTCTTCTTTTTTGTGGTCAACACCATGCCCACGAGAATGAGCAACGCGTGTGCCTGTAATCGGAACGTTCCCAACTTCGCCCCAGCCTGGCGAAGCTCTCTTCTGTTCAAGACGCCTCCACCCGGAATCCGGGACCGCGCCCCGCGGACACGGAGGTCAGTGAGCATTTTGCCCTGAGTTAACTTGAACTCACGACCTCACGCTATAGTTTTTGGGGCCCGAGTTACTCTTAGTGGCAACACATGTGCTTTGGAAACAGAAAAGTTCTTTCTCTTAAACCCGTTCACTGACATTTTAAACTCAAAGCCGGCTGGTGACCCCAGTGCACCGGCGATCTAACTGAAGGAGGACCCGGGGTCCCCTCCACACTGGCTTTCGTAGGAGATGACAAACAGTCCGAGGCCCTGTTTCTTCCTCTGCCAAAGGTGTTATTATTTCGTCCCCGTTTTCGTTTATATCCTGTTCTGCGGAAATTTAGCAGGAAGAGGTAGGATGGAAAATCTGCTCTTCCAAGT